TATGTACCCCTTAAAAAAAGATACCAATGATGGATACCTCTCCTTGACTTCTCACTAGGTGCAACAAACAGAAATGCCACCCAACATTGCCTAATATTCTCTGATACACAAAATAGGAAATGGGGCACATATTTTATTTATGGGAACAAATACACTTCTCTATTTGATACAAAGAAATAAGTTGTGACAAATGTTTTTCCTTATTGTGACTAATTATTCATCACCACCTTCTGCAAATTCCCTCACCAACTTCAAATGAGAAGAAAGAAAAAAAAACAAACACACAGAAACATCTCTGTCAGTTTGTACTGATGTTGAGATAGGGTTATATTAGAACAGGGGCAAGGTACAGCGACTCATGTGAATAGACTCGGCACTAAATTAGTAGCTAGGATCAAATTAAGAGAGGGTAGTACCGCTGGAAATTTAAGAAAATTTTATTGGTCGCTTTTAAAAATCTTTAAAACAGGCCCTCCCTGGTGGCGCAGTGGGTTAAAGCACTGCACTGAGAAGCTACAGCCACTTCCGCATCAGTTCGATTCCCACCTGCCCTGGAGGTGACCACATGGCGTGGCAGACCTCTCCTGACCCGCCTGCTGCTCCCTTCAGCAGTGTACTTCGTCCATCTGCCTGTTCTGCTCCCCACTCTGTCTCTGGTGAAGCCTCTCGCTGCCACTGAGCCTCTGGCCTGTACCCCAATTCTGTATGCACAAATATATAAATCTTTAAAAAAAAACTTTAAAACAAACAATTAAAGCATGATAAAAGTCTTGGAAAATGAAGTTTTCAGTAATTTGAATTATTTTACTCGGTTTCAAAACATGAACTGAGTATCACAACTACACTCGTTTTAATAACTTTGACTTTCTGAAATTGCATGTTATTGCTTGAGGACAATGACTAATTCATTCTAAACATGAACAGCACCTAACTATGATACATATGGAGACAGGAATACTTAATTTTAAGCCTGGCTTTCTACTTTTTAGTTGTTATCACCTTGGAAGAGGCAATGATCTAAACTTCAGATCATGTGATAACACCCCATCTATCTGGTAAGGGTGCTGTAGGGATTGGCTGTAGAATATATAAATCACCACATACTATGTTATATAAAGTAGAGTCTAAAACATACTTGCTAATGAGGAGGGCCAGGTTCATCTCAGTATCTTTGGGAAACATCAGAATGGACTAGTTCTCACTACAGCTGAAAAAGCCCTTGAGTGTTGCTGTATTTTTTTAGAGATCATGGACTCTTCATAGTATTTTTAAAGTGATGTCCAAAATCTACCTCTCACACCAATGTCAAACATTAGATGCAATGAACTATCTATATCTATAGTGAGTATAACAAAGGCATATATTTCTACCATCTGAAGTATTTCACTACTCTGAAGTATTTCAATTACCAATAACATCACTCAAGAAAGATTGGGTAAACTATATTGCAAGAGTGACTCCCTCCATCTAAAATATAGCAGAGCTCTAGAAAGATTGGGTTTGATGGGAAATGACATTGTTAGAGATGGAATCTGATAACCAGAAGCAACATTTGACACAACACAATGTTTGCAATACTCAAAATAGGTACAGATTAGCAGCAAGAAAGTGGACCCATTTTCAAAAAGGAATATGGTGGTGGTAAAATCTAAACTCACCCACATTTAATTAGCTTCCATCAGAGTAACATAGTCATGTTGGCTGATTTTGAAACCATAGCAATATAATAATCCATAAACATAATGTAAGGCAGAAGCTTAGTTCTTCGGGTTACAATAGGAACAATGTGCACATCAGGCATGTTGGGTTCTGCTACAGTATGGAAAAAAGTGAAGTAGTTCACCTGTTAACTATTTTTAGATTTGTGTGTGTGTCTTCTCATTAGACTTTTTTTTTTTTTTTCTGAAAATGGATTCACCTCATTAAATCTTAGAAAGTTTGCCAGGATGAAAAATAAAACTATGTTCATGTAAGTGTTCATTCAAGCACAGTTTCTTTGTCTCAGAAAGCTTTATGTGAGTACGAGTTGTTCTCAGACTTCAATTAGATCCAAAATAAGTCAAACAGGGATTTAGAAAACCATTGTAAGAAATATCCCCTATTGGCTAAATCCAGGTTCAAACGACAGTAACCAAGCCCTACTTTTCTAACAGGCAAATCTGGATCATGTCACTTATGTTGCAAGGTTTACACTAGTGAATTAGACTGGCTGTGAGAATTTCACATTTTACCAATGACAATTTCTTGTATTTAAAAGAATGGTGTTTGCTAGTTTTCCACAAAATGGTATGCATAAAAATTTTGATTTTTATATTATTTTTTTAAACATTTTTATAGCCTTAACTCTCTAATTAATTTTAAATAAATACATATTTAAAGTTGAGCTCAGTTCCTCAGCCTTAGGAATTAGAGATTTAGGGCCAGTCAATTCTTTAATGAACTGGAGAACAAGCACTGTACTGAGCCTTGCAGGCATTTAGCAGCTTCCTTAGTCTTTACTCTTAAGATACCAATGATGAGCCCTCCCTGGTGGTGCAACGGGTTAAAGCACAGCACTATGAGGATATCTGTAGCCACTGCAGATCAAGTTCAATCCCCAGCCAGGGAGCTGACCCACTGACCCACAGCAGTGTATTTCAGTGGATTTTCTTGTTCTGTTCCCCACTCTGTCTCTTCTGAATCCTCTCACCCCCTGCATCTCTGACCTGTACCCCAGTTCTTGTATGTACCCCTTAAAAAAAGATACCAATGATGGACACCTCTCCTTGACTTCTCACTAGGTGCAACAAACAGAAATGCCACCCAACATTGCCTAATGTCCCTTGAGGAAAATCACCTATTTGAGGATCACTAATGAAAGATTATTGGAAAATGTAGAAATACAAATGAATCAAAATTATCTTATCACAAAGGCTTGCTAGCAGCAACAAATTATTCTTCAGGAATTTTTCATAATAGTAAGATAATATTATAAACCCATCTTTATGCCCAAGCTATTTTTATTGTGTATGCTTTATTGAGAATATTTTATAATTCTATTAATACCTTTTGTAAAAATAATTAATGACTGCCTAAGATCCTTTGGTGTTGCTTTACCATATTTTAGCAAACATTTTTTAAGTTTTTATATTGTTCACAATATTTTGCTTAATAAATGACTAATACATAAATGTGGAAGTATCTACTTTTCATAAATATCAGTTATTAATTTAGGAAGGTAATTCATTGGTATAAATACCATCATCAAAGTACAGAAACTCATCTCCTAGGACAAGAAAAAAAGGTTTTGTCTAGATGAAGTAGATCAGAAAAATGAGTTTCTATCCGAAGTTCAGTTGTTTGGTTCATTCATTCACTACTACATCTGTAATGATAAATTCTCCATTGCCTGAAGGAAAAACGTAGGTCAGGGATTAGTTAATCACCCTGATATATTAATACATATCAACTGGAATTGGGGGAATTTTGCTGCTCAAAAACTCTACAATAGGTGAATATCAAAATGGAAAGACTCAGGCACTTTTAAGATATAGAAACTTTGTGATACGAATATAAGATAAGACACAAAACATAATCCTTAAGGAGACACGCTGTAAAAATAAAATGAGTGCTCAACAGTGATGATTTACAATGGCAGCTATTTCTGATAGAATACACTCACATTCTGAAAATATGACGTCCAGTTCTATGTGGTATGTAGAATTTTATGAACATCTATATACCAAAATAGTTTTAAGTGTTTATATACAGACCTCTCTTCTCTATTGGAAGTATTTTATC